TAAATAATGCATAAGCACACCTCCCAATGATATGAGCTCTAGATAAATTTGAGGCTAGATGATATGAAGTGCTTAAGACACTAAGAAAAGTCCGATCGGCTACACGTTAAATGCTTCATATGCATTTAGTTGCATTACATGAGTTATGATATTATTTACATCATGAGATGATTTATACGTACTCATGTTAGATGATATTTAGATGTTATATCATGACATGTAATGTGTGTGTACTATGTTTATATACTTATTTGTATGTGTATGCATTGATGTTTATATAGCCATGGGATAAAATGATGAAAAACATATGAATTAGAAAGAAAAAGGGGGGGCGTTGGGGTGTGGAAGTATACCTAGATGTAAAAGATAAGTGATGTGTTAACAAATATGTTTAAATGAAGGTCAAATAGCACATTTAGAATGAAATGGATCATTCCTTACTGAGCGATTAGCGCTCACCCTTTCATTATTGATTGCTTTGCAAGTAGACCAGAAGCGAAAGATGCTAGAGACAGCGGGGCTACATGTGAGGGGAGATGATTTATTGTCATCTTGATGTAAATAATGTAAATGATAAATGTTTGTGAAACACCTTTGGAAGCGTCCACCCTATAAATATGTTTTGATTGTGTAATTTTCGGATAAATTCTTAAAGTTTTTGAAATAATAAGTTTGGATCCTGCGTGACATCTTATATGTATGTTTTCGATATTATTATTATTATCCTTACATACGTTTTTTCTAAATACAACTCGTTCTCTAGACATGTATCTATGGGATTCTCATTGAAGGATATGCAGAGAATACCTGACTGAAGGGATAAAAAATCATGGACAATAAGTTGAAGATAGTGCTGCTTGTTTTCGCCTTCTTCTCCCTATGTTCTTTCCTTCTTACTACACTACTTTTTTGTCTGCTGTCCACTGCAATTTGTTTAACCCTAATTGCATTTGTTTTCTTTAGTTATTACTTATATTTAAAGGGTTAGTAATTATCATGCATTCCTACGTGGTAGACTTTGGATAGACATGATATTTTTTTTAATTTATTTTGCTATTAGAATATTATTATTATTTCAATTTATTATAATTATTTTTTTCACTTATAAACTTTTTTAAACATACAAATTATTTTCAAATATATCAATTTTGTCAATGTTATATCTAATTGTTTTAAGGTTATATTATTAAGATGATAATTTTAAAATAAATTAAACTTAAAATGTGTTATATAGATTACTCATCTTTTTACATAATAATTATAAAAAAATATTTGAAATTGATTAGAAAAAAATCTAAATTTATGCACATCAAATCTAGTGCTTTCTTTCCTTTCTCTTCCGATTTGTGTAATTATCAATGTCAAAAGTATTAATACAGAAGGTTTGTATTCTTGATTTGCTTATCATATCAATTAGAGATGGCAATGGGCCCGATATTTTCGGATACCCGGCCCGGCCCAAAAAGGTCAGACTTTTCTCGGTGTTCGCAGGCTTAGGCTTGGGCTTGGGCCAGGCCCGGACATGATTTTAAGGCCCGGACATGTTATATCTAATCAATAATGAAAGGGTGAGCGCTAAATAGTTAGGCCAGGCCCGGACATGATTTTAAGGCCCGACCTCCGGTACGGGCCAAGCCTGGGTATGTCTTCTGGCCCGGCCTAACTATTTTAGTATTAATTTTACTAAATTATCTTTATACTATATATTTAATTACAAGAGATTATTCTACATATATATATACCCATTTTTCCCAAACCCTAACCTCATCCCATTTGATGAATATTCAAAAACAAATAAATATATAAAAACTATGTTTAGAATTAAAAATATAAAAAAATAATTGAAATTTATTAATATTTAAAAATTCATATTATAAAAATGGGCGGGTTTGGGCCAAGCCTGAGGTTACAAAAAACCCTTTGGGTCGGGCTTGGGCTTTACCTATCATACCCGTGACAGGCTTGAGCCTTTGCCATGAGAGCGGGCTTGGGCCTGGGCCAAGGGGAACCCGGTCCCAGCCCGGCCCATTGTCATCACTAGTATCAATCCATAAACTATTAAAATTAAATTGCAACCAAAATTATTGAAAAAAAAATGGATAACTGCATCTGTAAAGGTAAGTTGATAACTTAAATTATAATAGCAACTATCTATAAATGCTCGAATGGTTCGATAGGGGCTCTTCGGTTCATTACTCAAAAGGTTCTGAGTTCAAGTCTCTCATTAGTTGTTAGTAGAGGTAACCATTAGAGCTCTTACCAGGTCGGTAATTCCAAAATTCTAGGTGATTAATTGAGGTGTGCATAAGTTGACCCAAACACTCTTAGTTATAAAAATAAAATAAAAAACTTAAATTATAACAGCATAGTTGGCATCAAATCAAATTTTCCTATGAATACAAAATTTAACATGCCAATTGAACTTCATTATGTCGTCTCTCCTTTGGTTAATGTAGGATAGAAACTGCTATTGCCAAAAATCAATATCTGATGTCGACGTGCCTTAACTTCTGATTATCAATGGTGTACCATACTAGGGGTGTGAACCGAGCCAAGCCGCTTGTGAGTCAACTCTGCTCGGCTCGTTAAATACTCGAACTTAGCTTGAATAAGACTCGAATTAGGTACCAAGCCGAGTTTGAGTCTACTCCGGCTCGGCTCGATTCAGCTCGCGAGTCAATAGTGACTCATTTAGGGTTTTTTCTACAAAAAATAAAAGTTTTAGGTTTGAATTGTAATTTGACATGTAAAAGTTTTAAAATGTTGCAAATTAACCCAAGCCCCAATTAAAGTTTTAGGATTTTATATTTTTTTGTGTAATACATTGTTGATGTGTTGATTTGGATGTGATTTTTGTTGAGTTAGATGTGATTTATGTTAATTTGGATGTGATTTATGTTGATTTGGATGCAAATTTACTAAAAATTGGATCTGATTTGTATAAAACAAGATCTGAGAGTTATATAAAAAATGGCCAAACGAGTTTTAATCAAGCCATAATCGAGCTAGTTCGAGTTCGAGTTAATCGATTCATAATTGAGATTTTTGAGTCGAATCACAAGCCAACTCGATTATAAACGAGTCAAGTCACAAGTCGAATTTTCCTGACTCTACTGACTTGTGACTCAGCTCAACTTCGTTTAATGCTTAACTGAGTCAGGCTCGTTTAGGGTGATACTCAGCTCATTACCATACTACTTTTATTTGCAATATGTAATTAAAAAATATCATAGTTAATACAAGCTATTCGTTATAAACTATGTAACAATCATGTATGTTTAACCAATGTTTTAAAAACCAACCCAGGGCTAAACCCGACAAAGAAGTTGGGTCCTACATTGACCGGTGGGTCAAACTGTAACATGTCACATAAAAAAATTTCAAAAATTTTCTATCGACGCACGTTAGCATGGTGATTGTTTCCGATGCACGTTAGCATGTGTCAACGTCAGCTTTCTTTCCCCTTTTTTCGACTGCTTTCTCACCCAAAATCACTCTCGTCACCACCACTGGAACCCCCACCCTCTCCTCTTCAAAACCATATAATTTATCCCCTGTCATCACTCGTCGATCACCAACCGCGGAAACCGTGTCGATCGACTGCCCTTTGCCAGATTCTAACTGTTCTGAGCAATGACAACTCCAACCACCACCACCCTTAGACTGACTGACTATTCCCCTATAAAACCCCCAAAGTTCCCAAACCATTCTACCCACCAATCACCAACCATCAGAAGCTAGGGTTTCGCCGTTTCTTGGCCAAATTTCAACGATTCCAACGATTAAAACGTAATCAGACACCACCTCCCGACTCACCGTGATCCACCCTTCAAAAACCCCTAACCCCGATTCATGTTTGCCTGCCAAACGCCAGTCGAAATTCGCCATTTTCTACATTTTGATTCACCCGATTTTTTCCAAAAATCGGTTGGACAGATAAGTTGCTACAGTACCCTCGATCCAACCCCAGGTGAATCTGAGTGAAATAGTCCCCCAGTTTTTATGTTCTCCTAGCCGAGTCCCGATTGAACTAGTCCGACCGGCCAAGCCAGGCCGGTTTTTAAAACAATGTGTTTAACATATCATGTATCCTAATTCTTAAGTTTATCTTAATAGAATATATTTGAATAGAGTATATCATGAACGAAAAATAGGGTAAGGAAAATGAAAATAATATCTTACTCTTGATATCTTTTTTTTATTTATATAATAGAGATATTTATGTTACTATAAGTTGGTATTTTATTCCTAATTGGACTAGTACTTCTACTAAAGTACTAATACATATTCCTAATTTCCTATTTCTCTTCTAAAGAGATACAAACATACAAGAAATTATTTTAAAAACTCTAACGATTATTAATCCTAATTGCATTTTTTTTATTTTAATTAATTACTTTTATCTAAAGGGTCAATAATATCAATGAAGTTTAAAGTAATTTTATTTTTTTACAATTTTTAATATTAATTATTACCATTTTAATCTAAATTATTTTGGAGTGTTTAAGTGTCATTTGATTGAAAGTACAGTGGAAATTATCATTTGGAATATAATATTTTGGTGTTTGTGCAACATGGAGCACGCAAAATCACATAATTAAGCACTTGTAAAAATAAAAAAATAATGGCACAATTGGGAAACAAACGCAAAGTTTATGTAAAATATCATGGATAATAGGTTTAGGAAAGCAAAACACAATTCCTGTTTTCACCTTCTCCTCCATATATTCTTTCTTCAAAGTTCAAACTACTTTTCTTTGCAATATGTAATAAAAGAATAAATCAAAATAAAAACTATTACCTTACTATTGAATATTGATATCTAATTTTTTTTTATATTGGAGATATTTATTAGGTATTTTATTTCTAATAGGACATGCAAGTCTGTTAATTCATATTCCTATTTCTCTCCTAAAATATAGTCAAAATATCTCTAAATATTATCAATCCTAATTGCATTCGTTAATTACTTTTATTTGAAAGGTTAATAATATCCATTATTAAATATTCCTATAAAAAACTCATGAAATAAAGTATCAAGATTTTACAGCTTAAATCCATCGCATCTTCCCACTCATACAATTATCTACATATCCACATCAAACTCGGAAGTTGTTGAACTAATTGTAACAAATATTACAGACAATGAATTGGCTTTTTTTCAACTTTATATGTGGATGATTATGAGAATAATGAATTGGAAAAGGAAAAGGAACAAAAATTCACAGGACATGAGCCTTTCTGTTAATGCCATAATTCTGCAGCAAGAGGAAGTTACCACTATCTTTGCAGCTTTCCGGCAGAGTGCAAGTATACCGACACAGAAACAACACTGGAAACACAACAAACATTCCGCAAATGAATAACCCAATAATACAATCCATGTTGAAATTCATAATTGACAAAATGAGGTTTTCCCGCCTGTCCTAGAAATGACACATGTGCAGAGTCAATAACAAAAAAGGTAATGTCAAACAAATTTGATCAAACTACAAAATTTCTAGACTTCTATTTTTTTTATGGTTAATACTTCTATTTTGACTTGGCCAGCACACCTACGCACAGGCCATGCTTGCTGGACACAAGGTCATCATGTTCTTTATATTGTACAATAATAGTGGCAACGAATAGCGTGAGGGAAAAGTAAACTTACGTAGCACCTAGAAAAAAGGCAAGGGAAAGATGAAAACGAAAGAGGAACACAGAAACAACTGCTGTGAGAAGCATTGCCACTGACGTAGAATACACCTGCACAGCATTGTCAAGCTAAATAAGTATAAAACTTCAAATAAATGTTGCTGCAAATCAATAACCACCCTCAATAAGATGGACTGAAGTTTTTCTTAATAATCTAGTAATAATATCCAATGAAGTTGGTAGACCATGCTGACAAAACATATTTAATAGGAAGATCATCAAGAGCATTGCATTTATATTTGTATCTGCTTTTGTCGTTTTGATATGAAATAACAGCAAAGTTGCCCCTATTGCACAACATACGTAGAAGCACTGGAAACCAGCGGCAATTACATTAGATTGTCATAAGCCCCAGTATATAGGGAGAGGCATGATCTCACAAGAAATAAGATGATGGGTTTCTCGGGGACTTGTGTACTATTTAACCTGCAGTTTCTTAGTAAAGAGAGAGGTAACAAAAAGAGAGTGTTTATTTGCTACCTAAATAACTTTCCCTGTCATTAACGTTCTTTCTCGCACTTCTCTTCTTATTTTCTCCTAGAGGCTATCTCATGACATATTACATCTTTATTTCCAATGTGTTAGCTTTTGTCAAAACAGAATGTCTAAAATGAATAACCTATTATCACACCAATTTGTCAATTCGCAAACAAAAATATGTAAACCCAAATTAAAAAAAGTGAAGCATCTAATTTACCTTCACAATATTGTCTGCATATTTCATTACCATGGAGACAGCAATCCCACTACACAGAGAACAAAAAATGTATATATTATGCATATTGTATGAAAAAAAAAATATATTATGCATATTGTATGAAAAAAAAAAACATATGGGAAATGAGTTGAAGAACTTAAGATATCTTTCTAATATTTATGAAGAATTTTAAATTTATATTTAAAAAAAAAAAAATGTTTCATATCCTTTATAGATCACAGATCTTGTTACTGGCTGTCAATAAAATGAGATTTCAGTATGATGCAGGTAGCCTTCTCTAAAACCCACAAAGCATATAAAGCATAAGGAATTGAGTGACTGTGGTTGGGTATCTTCAAACTTAGTTTCTTCCCCACAATAGAGTTCATATATGGTAGCATTAATTGACAGTCACACCTTGTTCTCCTCAAACTAACGTGTAACCATTTGTGCAATATCTAATGTAAAATAGAAATGATCAAGCCATAAAAGAGGTGTAACAAACCTGAGGGCATGGTTAAGAATCATGAGAACGGTTATTAATGAGTATCCATGAAAGAACCCCCTGAACACAAAATGCTTTACTTGTAAACTACAGATACCAATAACATAAACTAGGAAATATTAATTCATTACACAAGAACAATACTTTTAAAGGAAATAGATGGACTTTTCATTTACAGACATGGATGGATATATTCGATGATCTAGCCACACAGAGACAGAGATTAACTCATTCAAAAACACACACAGATACAAAGTAGATGGACTATAAAAGCAGAATTGGTAAATGATAGAAAAGTTGAAATTACTTGTTCATGACTGCGTCAAAATCTTGAATCACTATGGCAACAGCATTGAAGGCCATCCCAAAGACATACAACCAGAAATTTTGCACATTTATATTTCTTGAAGGTCGCTTTTTAATTATAGCCTGCCAACACAAAAATAAACACAGCATTGAAATATAGTATTCTATTTGATTAAAAAGAGAAATGCAACATGCACTTTATAGAGATTTTGACATCCTAAATCAGGATTTCACCAAGAATCATTTACTATATAAATGTCTTGGCCAAGAAGATACTGTAAGAACACTAATAAAATTTGCAAACATGAAACACCTCCAAATAAATGAGGAGCATGTCGAGTACTTAAAAGTTCACCTCAGTATACACTCCAGCAAAACCGCTTAAAAGTGCCATTACCTGAAAAAGCAATTACCAATGGTTACACAGCATGCACAAGCTATAAAGTCTATTTAGAACTTCTTGCTTCCACTGGATTAAGAGTCTCAAATTCATTAGCAACTCACAATGGCCATCATCCAACCTTGAAAAGGTGTTTGAAGGACATGATCCGAACTGCCAAAACAACATAAAACTGATTTAAATGCAGGAGATCATGAATTTTTGTTCAAAAATTTCAGATAATTATATGTAAGTCAAAATTCTTCATTCCATACTTGACAATAAGTTAGGACACCCCAATAATACCATTAATGTTGATATGCCAACAAAAAGTACTAAAACAATGATGTTAGACAAATTCTGGCGAATCTAGTCAAATGAAGCAATCTAAAAGAAGTAGAGTTTAAAATCTTACTTAGAGTTCAGTTGTGCTGTGGTGCACCCACAACATAGTAGAATGAAAGCTGCCCACTGAATCTCACTAAGCCTGAAAATTGTACACAGGTCAGAGATTATGCCTCGTTAGAATCTTGCACGAACTCTCTTTTATTTAGGTTTATCTTCAGCTTAGGTATACAATGACTTTTCCAAAAAATCCCAGCATTCTTAAAATCCTTAATAAAGAAATACACAAAGGAATATGAACAGAAAAATGATGTTTTCATAATCTCTCCCTCGATTTACTAATGACAAGTTATTAGCAATAACTTCCATCACCAAAGTATACAAGCTGCAGAGAACATACTTTTTTTTAAGTATGATTCGGTATAGAACGCCAGTGCTGATAATATTCAGGTTCTTCAGTATTTGGTAACCCGGTGCATCCACATAGGCAAAGATGTAATACTACCACGTGATATAGAAAAAGGCAAAATCAAATTCAGGAAACAAGGATAACATGCTATTGCTATTTAAGAAACCCAAATAACCACCACAACCAACCTGGAGCAAATTCTTGACAAGGTAAAGTACGGCAGGAATCGGGTAAACAATAACTTCATCCAAAGTTGTACTCAACCTAGTCCACAAAGAAGAAAAATTAAAACAAGAAATTACTCAAAGCTTAGATAACAGTGAGTTGACAACCACTTAAATGGGAAAAACAAAAAATCATACTATTGATTGGAAGAAAGAAAGAATCAAAACCTGTTATCTTCAGTGACACCCTCACTATTCCAAATTCTCGCCAAGGCAGCAAGTGATAATGCGCATTTCAAAGTTTCAACCTAATGTTATTTCCAGAAGAGCAGATCAAAGGGTCAAATTCAATCAGCAGTCATAACCAACATTTGAGAACAAAAGTAACACACAAGTCCTTGTTCCTCACCAAAAAATTAGCAGTTGTAACACTATACTCATACTTTCCAGCTCTCTTAGACCACACAATCAATATCGCTTGTGAACTCGTAAGAACAGTTAGTGCAAGTGTAACCATTGACCTATTCCAATCGAATATCAATATTAAAAAAAATAATAATAAAAAAATAAAAAATATAATTTGGAACACAAAAAAGAAAATGAAATTTCTCACTTACTTGCGCTTCCATTTGGACCGTTCACCAGAGCTTGAAGCCACATTGCTAACTGAAAATACAATTCAGTGGAAACAATAAGAAAACTTTATCTTTACAAAAATCAAAATTCAGAATTCAAAAGTTAAAATACATACTAGCTGAAAGAGGTTTGCCTCTCAAGCTCTCCAAGTCATTGGCATCACGGCCACCTCCATCATCATCCTGAACGTCATTCACATTTACAGTTAAATTCTGAACATTTTCAAGTGAATTGGTAGGGGTAAAGATGGAAACTTATACCTCGTCTTTGATTTTTCTATACTCCATTTCCGTCGATTTTGATGCTCGGAGATCTCTGAGTTCTGCGAATTTTGTTTTGGGCAAAGATCTCACACTCGATGCGGAAGTTAATAATTAATTAATTAAAAAATAATAATAATAAACAAATAAAAGAGGATGTTAGGCTAATGGCCCATAACGGTGTTGATCCATTAATGTCCGAATCAGACCATATGTTGGGCCTCGACAAAAATTAAAGCATAACACTTTATTTACAAATGTATAATTAAATAAAAAAAAAAATTCAAAGTTTGGTGACTTAATTTCAAGGGAAATTTTATGTTTCAAGATCTAGATTGAAAAGAAAAATATTGTTTGGGCAAAGATCTCACACTCGATTCGCCCAGCTGATGAAGTTAATAATTAATTAATTAAAATAAATAAATAGAAAAAGAGGATGTTGTGCTAATGGCCCATACTGGTGTTGATCCATTTATGTCCCAATCAGATCATATTTTGGGCCTCGACAAAAATTAATACCCAACACCTTATTTACAAATGTATAATTGAAGGAAAAAAAAAAAGATCAAACTTTGCTGACTTAATTTGAAGGGAAATTCTATCTTTAAAAGAAAAAAAAATTAAAAACTTTATGATAATTTTTTTATATAATGAAATCTGTATTTTCTTACAGGAAAGAATGATGCATTAATTTAAAAGTAAAAAATAATATAAACATTTTAATTATTTTGATAAAAGATGAAACATGAAACATTTTAGATCTATATGAATATTCACATAAATCATGTTTTCAAAATTTAAAAAATTAAATGTAGCTAAGAAATGAATTTAGTTGATATGGGTAGGTGCTCCCTTGAGGGTAAAAGAGTGAGAGAAGAACTACCATGTAGTTCTTTTCCGATTAATTGTTTCAGGATTTCGAAATCAGTTGAGATACATGTAAACTAATCCGAACAGCCGCGATTGTTAAAAAAAAAAAAAAAAAAACAAAAAGATGATATGGGTAGGATATGGTTGGAAGATTGGACTGGATTGGAAACAAAACGAGAACACATTTTTTTTTTTTTTTTTTTTTTTAGAAAGTGAAATGTTAAATGGGACCATGTAATGTAACGTAATCGTGGTGGTAGCCGTATTTATAGTTACAGTTTTACCATGCATAGACCATGCATAGCATGTGTATGTATGCACATTAGTAGATCCAGACTTCTCAACCGACAGCTCAGGGTGGTCCCTATCACAGTTTGTCCAATGCTGCCGCATCAACATATGCCTTCTCCAAGTTTTCGATTCGAATTCGATTGTTAGCTAATTATTATATTTTAATATAGTCAAAACGACTATTATTTCTTTAACCATCTAGATCTAGTCAAGTAAACATATCCACAATAGTATTAATTACGAGTGCTTTTAATTTATTATTTTTTATAAGATTTAGGAAATAGTATTAGATAATTGAATATATAAGTATTACGAAGTAAAATTTAAAAATTTATAAAAAAACCTCCTAAGTTTGCTAATTTAATAAATACTCTAATATGTAAAATGACAAAAAGACCCTCATCACCTGCAGTGCCAGATTCCAGCCACCACCGTCGAAATCTAGTCGAAAAATTGCGTAACGACACATACCGATCGGTATGGCTTCGCTATGGCCTTTTTCGACTAGATCCACCATGGATCTAGCTGGAAAAGGCCAGATCTATGACCATATGTGGCCGTTGACGGCCAGAGAAGGCCATCTTTGGCCGTTGTTGACAATCAACGACGGCCAAGAAAATGCCAGATCTATGGCCATATGTGGCCGTCAACGGCCAGAGAAGGCCAAAGAAGGCCATCTTTGGCCGTTGTTGACGGTCAATGACAGCCAAATCTTGGTTACCGGCCAGTTCTAGTCGGTAATTCACCGTTGTGGTAGATTCCGGTTACCACCGACGATGGTTTTCGGAATCTGGAAAGTATGGGTCGCGGGGGTATTTTTGTTAATTTTTAAACTTTTTTTCAGGAGGTATTTAATGAAATTAATAACCTATGGGGTCTAAAAGTAATTAAAAAATAGGCTAATATTTCTAGAATAATGTGCCAAACATTATTTGGAGAATATGATTGGGAATATGGGCAGAAATAATAAGTCAAACGCACACATAATGTTCATACCTGTTGTTATGGAAATCCGTAACAACTAGAGGACCAAGATGAAACCGAGTCGCGTGATTATAAATAATCAGCTTGAACTGAGTTAGGAAATTCAAGTGATTTAACAGGATAGAATCAAACATACTTCTATTGTTATCTTGTCTTTTGAACCTGAATTATATTTAAATTAAGTGCAAGAGGAGAACTGTAATAACTAGCTTATCTTGCCTCACTAAATAGGCTCCTTGTTTAAGTTTGTTTTTCCAAGATTATCTCCCCTCTCCCCAAATGAGAGTGATGTCTCCCTTTTATACATGTTGTCTGGCAATAGTTGAGAGTTGGTAGATTACAAGAGAGATTACACACATAATCCCCTGTAATCTTGATTTGAGTCAGTCTCCTCCCATGCTTAAGTCAGAGCAATCATTCTTATTTCTTAATGACTGGTGAGCTTACTAATTAAGTCATTTGTTGTGGGAGTGACACGTGGGTGATCCTGATCGCTCGATCTTAGAGCAATCTATAGACAAATGACACAAATCTGATCCTAGAAAAATCATGTACAACAATACCAAATCATGATCATGCAGAGGTTTCGAAACTTCTTAACGCGGACTAAATATGATCATAGTCACTAATTTCACAAAATTCTGAATTCATTAATTAGTGATCAAGCATCCGCCTTTGATTCATACATTAAAAATTTCAAGATTGGTTCACACTTCACATGTACACTCACACACACACAGAGTATGTTCATATTTATTAATGGGAAATGCTAGAGGTACAAAGACTCTTACAAAGAGTCTTTATACAAAGTGATGTGACAGACTGACGTTGACATACTAGTGGTGTGGTAGCTATCACATCACTTTCTTCTCTTTCTTTTCACAAACTAGTGGTGTGGCAGCTGCCACATCACTTTGTACAAAGACTCTTTATAGGAGTCTTTCTTTTCACAAACTAGTGGTGTGGCAGCTGCCACATCACTTTGTATAAAGACTCTTTATAGGAGTCTTTGTACATCTAGTATTTCTCGTTGTGGGAAAAAGTCTATAAACAGAGGTTATGAGTGTAACATTTTCTTTAAAGTCGTTAACATGACTAATATATAACAACTAATCAATACCTTCATTAATGTACACAACTAATCAATACCTTAATTAATGTACTAATCATGGTCAGATGTGTAATTTTATATATCTTTACCAACGTACTAATCATGGCTAGATATATATATTGTGTATATGTTATGTATGATAGATGGATGGATGGGTGATAATACATACATGTATGGACCCTACCATAACACCATGGCAACATCATCCACCTCACCCCCACAAAAGAAAAAGAATAAAACAGGCTGTGATAGAGCTGTGAACGCTGCATTTCACCTCTTTTAATTTCTTCTCCCTTTCCCTACTCTTTCTCTCTCCCTCTCAATAGTCAGTACACAACCTCTCTCACCTCACATTCACATTCATCTTCATCTTCTTCTTCTTCTTCTTCTTCTTCTTCAGTTAAACGCCACCCGGCCACCATGAGCTCCATTAGTCAAAGCTTTCAGAAGAACCAGTCACTCCCGCTTTCACAAACCGAGTCCACCACCGACCAGAAGCCATACCTCCGTCGCCGGCTATCTTCTCTCTCCCTAAAGATTCAACCCCTCTCTTTGCGAACAACTTCATGGGCGTTTCAAAGATCGAAATCAGTTTCCTCCATGGGAGAATACGCGGGGAGTTCGATAAGGAAGTGGTGGGACTGGGGATGGACTTGGATCTTGTCGAGAAAGCCGATTTTCGCTAAAGATCTGGAGATGAATGAAGAAGAAACTGTAATTCTCGGTTGCCATAATAGGGGAAGTTGGAGGCATGTTTTTTACAAGGTTAAGTTTGAGCTCAGAAAGCTTGTGGGATCTGATAAAGTTGCTCTTCCTCAAACGTGCAAGTACACTTCTTTTGATTATTCCAAGAATTTCGATGATGGAAAGCGGTTGTTTTAAGGTTAATGTACGTAATTTTCGGTGCCTCTTGTGTGAGAAATATTATTAATTGGAGGTGGTTCACACAGAACAAAGCTTAATCTGGCTAGGCTTTTTTCTGGAATAAGATTATTCAAGATTCTAAAGATTCAGATCTGTCAATGGAAGATAGAAAAGAAAAGAATTTTTTTGTATGGGTTCAATTTAATTACTCTCTTTATGTTGTTTTGGCTCATTTTGTTAATGTTGATTCATGAAAAGTATGTGGAGGAGGATTGAGGAAGAAGAAGAAGAAGATAGAATCTGGGCTTCTTTATAAACAAGGAAAAATTGAAGGGACTTCTAGAAATCACCATTAATGAACTGGTGCATGTATTTTACTCTATATATGTTGATTAGACAGTCATTTTTTTTTTTTGTATACGTTTTAGTATATACGATTGTTATTATCTTAATTATTATTATTTGAGTATTTATCTTCTTTCATTCTTTCTGTTTCCACTGGGAAAAGTTAATCCTATATAGATTATAAAACTATGATTAAGTGATTCGATAAAAACTTTTAGGTGTATTTCTCAAGAAATTCTGAATACGAGTCCCTCTTTAATTGTTAATAAGAATAACCACTGAAAATTTAAAAAATTAGTTAAGGTGTATGTAAAGTAGTCCAAACACTCTGGTCATTAAAAAAAAAAAAAATACATAAAATGTTGTTTCTTGCAAGCAATCTTGGAATGAGACTTGAAACCCTAACTTTCAATACAAACTGTAGTGGAATTATGAACAAAAATAAACTATTATACTAAACAGGCTTAATCGTCGGTGGAATAAAAGTAAATTACAGAAAAGCTGGACAGAATGATGCCAAATCCATGTTCACCCATGTGATGGGATGCCACATTTTTAATTACTAGTCCAAGAAAGATTCAGATTTGTGAAGTGGGGTTTGGTTCATTTCATCACCTCGAATTCTCTTCTGTCGGTGCAGAAACTGGGTTGCTGTAAGTTACTCAAAACAGGTAACATATTTCTTATTATATACGTGTCTTTGACTACAGACTTCTACTGCCCACATGAATCCCATCATGCTTACCACCGCTACTAAATTTGTGCATTGAATTTGAAGGTCAACATTACAGGAACCCCACCTGGGGATTTGGCTTTTAAATATTATTTTTTACATACTTTAATATTGTGATTACACTCATCTATTTCAATAGACAACATTACAAAAATAGGGTAAAAGCCTAAAAGTAAAAGGGTATCTATGATACAATTTTGAAACTTTAAGGGTCCATTTATAAAAAGTGAAGAGACGATCATCTGAAGGTTAAATTTGAAAAATCGTAGGGAGAAGTGAGGAAAGTGGTTAGTTAGCGGAGAGCTCTCAAGCCATAAATATCACCTGTTCAAAATGTCACTGTTTTGTTATAGTCCTACCATGTTTCTTCAACTCCATTTTAGATCCACTAATGTCCGCGAAAATTACTCTTACCTACCTCTTTTTCCACATCCCTTTTGTTTACACACCAGAATAAACTACTATTGCCAATGATTTAAACATGCCATTTTAGTAGAAAGTTGACTCATCTTGCACTTTGCTGTGGTTCCCAATTTATAATATTGAAAATACAAGTCTTCTTTTTATCTCCATCAACTTACCACCTAAAACCACAAGTTAAAAACACATCTCATAACTATTTTTGGGTGATCAAGTGGTTCGATATAAACTCTTGAGTGTATTACTCTAGAAGTTTTGAATTCAAATCCCTTTTCGGTTGCTAATAATGATAATCATTGAAATTTTTACTTGGCTGATAATTTTAAAGTCTCGAAAGATTAGTTAAAATACGTGTAGGTGGACCTGAACACCCCCAGTCATCCAAAAGAAAAAACACATCTCATGTTGTAGTTATCTAAAATATTCTAGACTTGTAGATTAGAATATACGGAGGAATTTATCTGGATTTTATCGGTTAGTAGAAAGAAACTATTGGGTATGGTCCATGGACATTGTGTCAGACCAATCACAGCAAATGTTGGGCTTGGAATTTTGACCCAAATTATGAGAACCCAATTCCTGGGTATTTGGAGAAGTAATTGGACCCAATGCTCCAACCATACAGATTGCGCAGGAACAGGCAGTTGACAGTTCTCTCCATCACTGAATCAAGAATATTCTGTTTTTTCTCCTCCTCTCTTTCAGGCCATTGAATGCAGATACTCTCATTGTCAATCTCACTTTTCCCAGATAACTGAATTTCTTTGAAACGGAGAGGATACACTCTGTCAATGGCATTGGCAGCAAATACCATAATCTCCCAAAACAGAACCTTAAACTCAATCAGTTTCCCACTGCCAAAGCTCCCGAACACATACCCTCATCATCCCTCCAAACTCACTCTTCATCCACTTCAACCTAAATCCAATTATCACTGTTACCAACCAACTCTGCCCGTCTCTCTCGTCGCGAAAACCAGCTTATCTGACATTCAAGTTCCCTCCACCACCACCACAACTAATTGTAAGTTGCTCTCTTTAATCTTCTTCTTTTTCAGCTTTATTCAATGGATACAATATTTGGAATTCTTGCTCTTGCTGATTGTATCTGGGTGAATTAGTAGTAGGAAATACTTAACTTTTGTTGTTGATATTGTCATTCATGTGTGGACTTGACTGTTCGATTCAATTCAATCTACAATAGCATTCAACAGTTTCACTTTCCCTGTTTTCTAGTCTCATAAGGAACCAAGTGGGAGATTAAAGGAATTGACTTTAATTTAAAGTTGCAATCTTTCAACCGATTTTACTCTCCTGTTATATGTTAAAGCATGGCCAGAATTTGCCAAAAATGTGTCCGGTGAATGGGATGGACATGGAGCTGATTTCACAAGTAAAGGAATCCCAATTGAACTTCCTGAGTCTGTTGTACCTGAAGCTTATAGAGAGTGGGAGGTTAAGGTTTTAGATTGGCAGACCCAGTGCCCCACACTTGCTCAACCAGAAGAGAGTTTTATGTTTTACAAAACAATAAAACTACTCCCAACTGTTGGATGTGAAGCAGATGCTGCAACACAGTATAGCATTGATGAGCGAAACATTGGAGGCGAAGTTAATAAAGTTTCTACTTTTGCATATCAATCTAGTGGTTGTTATGTGGCTGTTTGGCCAGTTGGGGATCATGGTACATATAGATTATTGGAGTTGGAGCATTGCTTAATCAATCCTCAGGATCGAGAATCTCGTGTGAGGATAATTCAGGTTGTTCGTGAAGAAAATAAGAAAATGGTATTGAAGAACATTAAAGTTTTTTGTGAGCAGTGGTATGGACCATTTAGAAATGGTGAGCAGCTTGGGGGATGTGCAATCCGTGATTCTGGTTTTGCAGCTACAGATGCAATGAAAGCTTCAGAGGTGGTCGGCGTCTGGCAGGGTCCTAGTGCTGTTGCCTGTTTCACCAGTTCTCAAAATGTGAGTTGTTGAGTTTCCTACTTTTTCTTATTTGGCTTATATTTCTGTGATAACATTGTGGAGCAATTGCTAAACCTTAAAATTAATGTTGTTTAGTTGAGAAAAGTCTCTCAAATAAGTCACTAGCAGAGCTTAAAAATATTTTATGTTTTGTCACTTGGTTTTCTGTCATTTTTTCGTGTATGAAATCAGAAGAAATGATTTCTCTTAATACCTTGGTGTGATCTACCTAAGATTTTGGAACATCAATGAAACAGTTTCCCAAAGAAAATAGAGGAGAAACAGCTGTTTTTTCTTTGAACCATCCTGTGGAAACTGTTGTAGCTAACTATATTGCTACTAGGGAGAAGCAAATTGTTACTTCATTCATTTGAATTTAGTAGAAAAAGACAGTGATGATTATCTTAGATCATCTTTCTTTCTGTTCATCATATCTAATCTCCTTTGGTTAGGTTATTTTCTTTTTTCACAATTAGCTTGAGGTTAAATAATTGAGCATTGTTGGCTGTTGAGACCTGTAAAAAAGCTTTGCATTTTGGTAATTTGAACTCCCTGGGGTTCTCTTGGTAAACGGGAGATGATTTGTGCCTCAATAAAAGTGACTTTCCAGACCATCTTGCATTACTGTTGCATGAACTGAGTAGTTTTCCCAGTAATGCAGCTGATCCTGTAAGGATCTCTGATATGTGGAAAAGATAGCTGAGTCTTTTTTCCTTCCTTACAGTAGCTACCTTATGTTGCTCTGCTCAAAGACTAATCAATTATGTCACGTGAATTTCTTGGTTGTTCATTTCTTGCACTGAGTTCTAGTTTTGAACTTATTCTGTTATCTATCCATAATCAACATCATCCTGAAGAATTAAGCATGATTTAGTGGAAAAGGAATATTCAAGGACTAATTAGTATATTGTGTAAATGTGTGATGAAAACTTTAGAATCCTCCCCAAGAACTTCTAGGTGGCAGCATGCAGAAGTCGACGAGAGATGAATCGGGTGTAATATTGCTTCCAAGGCAGTTGTGGTGTTCGCTAAAAGAAAGTGAAGATGGTGGAACTTTCTGTGAAGTAGGGTGGTTGTTTGATCAGGGACACGCTATTACATCAAGATGCATATTCTCAAGTGATGCCAAGTTGAAGGCAAGTTTATATGATAACAGATTTTCATTAACTCAGCAGTTATTGAGTTTCATATATTACACCTGAACTTGAGTTAAGGGGTTAATCCTTTGAAACAACTTCGTTTGATATCTTAATTCATGAAATTCACCATTATTTCTCACTATCAAATATTAATATACATTATGGTTTCCCCATCTGCTTTTTGTTTTGCAGGAAATTTCAATAGCACAAGAAATTGCAGTTTTGGGGAGTGCTTAGCAAATAGCGAGGGGTTGCAATTCAGATTAGATAACCCGGAGAGTTACTGTTTTCATGAAAAGAAAATGGATCACTTCCTTATTTAGGTACATGTCAATGAAAGGAACACTTAATTGAAATTTTTATGATACGAGGTCAAATTAATAGCAGTTCTTAAATAAGATGAACTGATTCTACAGCTTCTGCTGTACTTTTGTAATTTTCTTTTCTGATGTAATATATGATTCATGAACAATGATCATAATTTGTAAAGTTTTCACAGTTCATACAAATTAAGCCTTTCCATGTGCTCAAGACTTTGCACATAAATCCATTTTCTGCAACAATTCACATTAGGCATCAGATAAATGTAAAACACAGCAAACCTGTCTTGAATAGCTTTACCACTTCATATTCTGGGAAGTTTGCAAAACTAACGTTTTGTTTAAGTCATACAAGAACATAAACACATCTCAATAACAACTCATGCACAGAACATCTCCTATCTATTGTTCATCTTTGGCATAAATAAGGTCTTGGAGCTAACAAGGAACCAAAAACATTTTCTCAAAGCATGGTAATAAATCATCCTCTTCATGCTTGCTGTACAACCTGCAAATGAACCGAGTTTAGAAAACAGACTTGCGGAAAAAATAATTACAGCTTGGTAATTATATGCAAATTGCAGAGGTGTAACTTTGTAAGTTTAATCCAACACACGTATCGACTGTCTTTTAAATCTTTTTCCTAACGGTAATACAATTAATCCAATCCCCTGATTTTTCTACCAGGTCTTGAATTCATCTTCGCATAACAAGACTAAATATATTATATTGTGGTTAATTACAAATCTTCACCTCTCATCTAAAATGTTTCGTAATTATAGCAGCTCAAACCATTTGACTTTTTCAGCTCAAAAAAATCCACAAGAAACAGGAACTAGAAAGGAAAGCTAAAATTCAGAAGCTGGCAATACCTGTACATGAGGTCTATAACTGAAAGCTAATGAGCACCAGGCGCATCTCTCATGCTCATGTTTAGACTGTTTCGCATGGTTCGTCTGCCTATTCCAGCATCGCCTTTTTGCATCATGGCAACAAATTCACCATAATCAATTCTTCCATCCTGGGAAAATGACACATCCACAAATGAAGCTTGGTCAACAAACAAAAGCAAAAGAAACAAATTTAATCTTCAGCACTTGCAAGGCATCCAAAACTTGTAAAACCAAAAAATATTTTGGTAAGAGGTATACTTCACCCATTGATTAAAACTTGGCCTCGCGAGTTCTATGCCTAAGATTCATTCCTTTTCAGGCTTCGTCTTAATTTTTAATATAATGAAGGCAAATTTTACAACTATAGTCTAAGATTCAAGAGAAAAGAAAGTTAACAAATTTAGATTGCTTACATTATCTTGATCAACTTCTCTGATTATATCTTCAAGGAGAACATCTGTCATGTTATGTTCAGCACAAGCTTGCTGAAGCTCATCAACCGTGATATAACCACTTGCATCTTTGTCAAAGTACCGGAAGGCTGCCACAAGATGTTCCTCTCGTTCCAATTTGTTGAGGTGAACTGTTGCTGCTATAAATTCCCCATAATCAATGGTTCCACTGTTGTCAACATCAGCCTGAAACCAATTCAAATAGCTCAGCTGATTAGAAATATGAAGAAACTATGAAATAACCGAATAACTGTAATAATTGCAGAGTTCAATGTCTTATCATATCAAGATTGAATGCCAATTTAACCAGAAGTATAAGGTAATTTGTATTCACAAAAGTTCATACTATCCCCTGCTTCTTAACTGTACCATGAGAAAGGAGGGCCATCAATTTACTATTTTACCAAAGAACTTCACCCAAATTGCAAATGATATCTATTGCTGCAAAACAGATTACTAATCAAATAGAAAACTAAAGCGGCCTATTCGAGCCTCCCATGATTCAGCATATCAAAACCAAAGAACTATTCCTCATTCAACTTAAAACACAGCACCACAATCCCTAACCACATTGCTTCCAGAAGAATATGGCCATATTTCAACTAATATTTCCGAAAATGCTTTCAAATATTCCCATAACACTCACATGGTCCTTTACAAAAGGCCTTAGCACCAAATATTGACAGAGAATACAATTACATAAAAAAAAACCTTAGTTCATGCCTCTTCCAACAGAGGAAGTAAATTTGAAGTTGAACTTTCAATGGGAAAATGTTTTTGACTAATTCTTCTTTTTCTAACCAACAAAGTAGCTAAACTAATGCGCTACAAGAACACAACCAGACAGAGGAGAGCTCGTTCAGTAAATTTTCAATAGAATTACCCCCAAAAAAAAAATTAAAAAAAAATAAAAAATCTAAGTATATCTAAAATATCATTGATTTACCAAGCAATTCAAACTTAAAATTTACTCAACCATAGAAACAGAAAAATATTTTTCACTGCCATCCAAAGTGGACAAGGTAAACTTACAGGCATGCACTTGACTCTCAAATCAAGCAAAACGGTACTAAAATAGATATATTCAACTCATGACAATTCAGTGAAACACAATTGTATCAAAATTGAAAAGTACAAACACACAAGTCTCTCTCCCCATACACACACAAGCACTTACCGCATCCATAAGATCACGTATCTCTGTATCCTTCAAGGTAGAGCCATATCTTCGCAAACCAGCCTTAAGTTCATCAAATGTAATTGCACCACTGTTATCAGTATCCATTGTCTGAAACATTTCCCTCAAACCAGCAATCTCCTCTTCGGAAAGGCTTTCAGCTATAACCTGGTAATGAAAAGGGCAAATAGAATTTCTCATCATATTAGGGTCTAGCTTTGGCCTCAAAAAAGAGCATGCTAAAGTAACACAAGTGTTGTGAGCAAAAAGAAAAAGGCCCAATATTCTTATGCTTCGGTGCAGAATGTTCATGCCTTCAACGTTAGGTGTGTTTATTGGCATCCAAATACATGCATGCAACTGCCCTTACCCGTAAAGCCATCTTCTTCAGTTTATTCATAGCAGAGAACTGTTTGAGACGTGAAAGTACAGCTGGATCTAGTGCCCTATCAGGAGCAACTCCATTTTCACATATCCAAGGATGACCTAAAGGAATCATAAAGAAATAAATGATTCAAACTCAATTTGGTCCTCAATATTTCTCAAAAACAACCACCCATCAATAAGTTGCCAAAGCTATATTGACAAATGAATTGAATTCCTACTTAAGAAGAAATTTCCAGGTTCTTAAATTTTGTAAAAAGTAGCAAAAACTTCTTAAAGAAGTGTCTTATTACTATTCCTATCCAAGAGCAAAGCTGCAAAACTAAGACTTATGAAACAAATATACTGCAGTTTCATTTAAAATTGGTTGGAACAACAAATAAATGCAATTTCTTACTTGCCATACTGACAAGTTCAGAAAACAACTACTTTAAGCAAAACCTTTCAGGTTCCCAGTTTCCCAAAAGTACAAAAATCATAAGGAAAGAATTGCATTACAGGTTATACATACATAACACTTCATGAGCAGTCAAGCGTTCTGAAGGTTGAGAACATAACATCCTCCGGATTAGTTCTTTTGCACTGTTTGATATTACAGGCCAAGGGTCTGACTCAAAATCAATATGTCCCTTCAACACCGCATCAAATATTCCCTGTTGTGTTTCTAAACTCAAAACAGAAAGCATTTCAGTGTATTGCACACCACGTGAAAAACTTATTCTGTTTTAACAGTTAACAATGTCCAGCCCTACCTGCCCAAAATGGTGGCACTCCACTTAACAATATATACAGTATGACACCGGCTGTCCACACATCTGCTTCTGGCCCATAATGCTTGAGGAGTACCTCAGGAGCAACATAATATGGGCTTCCAACCACATCGGTGAATATTTGACCTGAAGCAGAAAATCACATCCACAGTTATACAAAATGCAATTCAGGTGCACATTGATTTCAGTTCACTCTAAGGTCTCATCATATTATATGCCAGTAAACCTCTTGAAATTGGATTTTGGCTTCCTGATTATTATCTAAAGGCATTAGCAGAGCAAGTATAGTTTCAGTTAAAATATTTCCTTTGCTAGATCATGGAATTGATGTATGAAACATGATCCACTAACCATTGAGTCAAGGTGCATGCAAATAAATATGAACAAGCATCCATAACATGAAAGAAAGTAATTGATTAAAACACAAATTACTTAATTAACAAAAGCAGAGAAAAACCAATTACATAAACATACCATAAAAAGATTATAGGGAAACCATTCTGCTTCTTTAGCTTCTTCCCTTACCATTATTTAAAAGAAACAAAAAACAAAACAAAAAAGGTTCTGAAACTACAGAATCAAAAAGCAGAAAGCAGTCATTTTTTACCCGGTTTGAAGAAAACTGAGAGTCCAAAATCAATAGCTTTGAGAGAAAAATCATCATCCTTGTTAACCAACAAAAAGTTCTCAGGCTTTAGATCTCTATGCATAACCCCCAGTGAATGACAAGCCTCAACAACCCCAACAATGATCTTTGTCAACTCAGCCGCCCTCCTCTCACTGTAATGTCCTCTCTGAATGATCCTATCAAATAACTCACCTCCACCGCAAAGCTCCATCACGATATGCACATATAGCGAATCCTCATAAGCACCCTTTATGGTCACAATATTCTTGTGACCTGCCAAATGGTGCATTATCTGAATCTCCCTCCTAACATCATCCACATCCTCCTTGGAAATCAACTTCCTCTTAGATATTGACTTGCAAGCGTACTCAATACCCGTGGAAATCTCAGTACATAAATAAGTAGTCCCAAATTGACCTTGCCCCAACTTTCGACCCAACGTGTAAAGATCGCGAATGTTAGCAGTCCTATGGCCTAATACATAATAAGTCTGGTTATCAATGCCACGCCTCATGATGTTATCTTTCTTGGTGGGACTAATGAGAGGTACAGAGTTATCTTTTTTAGGGTTTTCTTTGGCAAATTCGTGAGAAACAAGTTGCTGAGATTTCAAACTAGAAGGTGAATAATCAGAACTGGAACGATCAGAGTTAGTGTTGCGCTTGGAATGGTCTTCGGGCTGATTGTAGCCCTGATAGAGTTTTCCTGTGAAAGATCCACGGCATGTGTTGCCCATGAAACAATTAGAGTTCCGACCTCACAGAGTTTTCCTCATTCAATAATAGATGTCTCATCAATTACACTGACATATATAACACAATCAACAAATCCCAAGTTAGAAATTTTAACGAATATGCAGAAACAAGACAACACATTAAAGAATCAAAGAATCCCGATATCAGATCAGACACAATACAAAGCTATCATTTTTTAGAAGAAAAGTTATACCTTTCACCATCTTTAAAGAAAAAGAAAAAGAAAGGAAAAAAACCCACAAGTCAAGAATCATCAAAGTTGATGTTTTAAAGTTAAGACTTAGAAAATAAAATGCAAAGGCATGATTATAATCTATCTACCAGTCAACAGACAATAACAAATCTTGAAACTCAGGCGCAATATCATGAAGATCAATGTATAGATATAATTAAACAAGTACAAAACTTAGATAACATATCAAAAAAGAGAAAGAAAAAGAGATGGATCTATTACCAGTTTCCGTGGAAATGATGAAAGAATGAAATGGGGTTAGGAGATAATAAATGAAAACACAAAAAGGTCTAAACTTTAGTGAAGAAAATGGATCTCAAATAATCCAATAACAAAACAACTGTTTTGTCTTCTATTTATTGGAATTAATAATACAAAAACTTTTATTAAAAAAAAAAAATTATGATTCATTTTGTTGTTATTTTTAGAATGGTGTTGCTAAGAAACATCGGACGAGAGTGCTGACCAGCTAACTCTTCTCTCTTTTACTTTAAACGCGGCTTTACAAAATGCTACCATCATCACCATTCCATCATCATGAATAAACTAATATTACA